TAATAATAATAATAATAATAATAATAAAGTCCTGCGGGACGTCAGGTCTGTAGGCGGAGCTGAAACCTGATCCTTCCATGTGTGGCTTGGATCTGAAGACGTTTCCATAAATCAAAGGGTCAAACTCTAGAAGTCGTCCATGGCGTTGTGGATCGTCTCGATGATCTTCCTCTTCAGCTTCCTCACCTTGTCGGGCGGAGCCTCGTTCAGACACTCCTCCACGTACTTCAGGAAGCCGGCGTGCGGCAAGTCGCTCCGGCTCTGGAAGACGCTCCTCATCAGCTCCATCAGCTCGCCACCGGGGGCCGGTGGGCGGCGGCGGCTCGCCCGCTTACAGCCCGGCGCTCTGAGATCTGTGTGGGAGGTGGAGGGGGAGGAGMTAGAGGGGGAGGAGCGCTGGGAGTCCGGGGGCGTCGGCGAGGGCGGGGCATCGAGGTTGTGTGTGGCGGCGGTTTGGTTGGAGGCGGAGCAACGCGGGGGGAGGAAGTCTTCGTCCTGCTCCTCGTCTTCCTCACAGCACTCACAGAGGAACATCAGGTCCTGGTAATGTTTCCATTTAGGCAGGTAGAAGCCCTCAGAACCACAGGTCCGGTTGGAGCTCACCACCTTGTGCTCCCGCTGGAAGATGGTCCTCAGGTTCTTGAACTTAGTCTTTATGTCCTCCACTAAGAATAAAGACAAAAAATAAAAAGAATAAAGACAGAACCTGCAGGAGACGGGTCAGAACTGAACCAGACCCAGGTACCTGAGAACGGGACCGGCTCGTTCTCCGACAGGACGCCGCTCAGCGTGTCCAGCAGACYCTGTCTCAGCAGACGGTTCTTGTAGTTCTTCAGCCTGTGGTTCCACAAACAGCTGTGTTCTGCAGAGACACGGAGAACCGGATCCACGGGTCATGATTTCACAGAGACCTGAACCRGTTTCATTTTYATCCGACCCTCCAGACTTCCTGGGTCTGGTCCTGTCTCTGTCTTCTTCTCCGTCTAGTCTTTGGCTGCACTTGGTCTGGTCCTGGTCTGCTCTAAGTCTGGTCCTGGTCTGGTTTTGGTTATATCTAGATCATGTCTTCGCTGGTCTGGTCTTGATCTTTTATTGGTCTTGTCTCATTCTGGTCCTGGTCTGCTTTAGGTCACTTCCTGTCTGTGGTCTGGTCTGGTTTAGGTCACTTCCTGTCCCTGGTCTGGTCTGGTTTAGGTCACTTCCTGTCCCTGGTCTGGTTTAGGTCACTTCCTGTCCCTGGTCTGGTCTGGTTTAGGTCACTTCCTGTTCCTGGTCTGGTTTAGGTCACTTCCTGTCCCTGGTCTGGTTTAGGTCACTTCCTGTCCCTGGTCTGGTTTAGGTCACTTCCTGTCCCTGGTCTGGTTTAGGTCACTTCCTGTCCCACCTACCAGAATAAAAGGCGATGAGCTGCTGGACTTTGGCCTCGCTCCAGAGGCAGCGCAGCTCGGAGCTCAGTCTGTTGTCGCTCTGAACCAAACAAGGTTTTCTCTCCGGTGAAGACCTGGACGGAGAGTCCGGGAGCACGGAGGACCTCGGTTCCAGATGATCCGGAGCTGCGGGGAGGAGGACCTGGTACACGGCTCTGGTGCTGGTCTGACCCTCGGCGTGACCGGAGACCGCAGACAGGTTGACGAGCCTAACACCGCCCATCTGAGGAGACCCCGTGGAGGGAGGTGGACTCCCTCGCTCCTGGTCTCTGTCTTCGTGGACCAGCAGCACCTTCAGGTCTTCAGGACCGTCGTCTTCATCGGTGGACTCGCAGAGGAAGAGCAGCTGGTGGTAGTGTTTCCACTTGGACACGTAGGGTTTGTCTGAGGTCCGGTTGGCCTGGACCGACTTCAGCTCGCGGTTGAAAACAGTCCGGAGGTTCTTRAACTTACACTTTATGTCGTCAACTGGAAAGAAGCAAGATAATGAGCTAAAGTTTGGTGYGGTGGAGTCCGAGAGTCGTTCAGAACCAGAACTCTGAGAGCTAACGGATCAGAATCAGAGTGCGGAGGTTTTTACCTGAGAAAGAGACCAAATGGTCGGACAGCTGGCTCCTCAGAGAGTCCAGAAGTTTCTGTCTGAGCTGACGGTTGTTGTAGTTCACTGACTTCTTGCTCCACAAACAGCTGTGCTCTTCAAAACAAACAAACAAACACACAAACAAACAAACAAACAACAGTTAGCCTCAAAACACCTCAGACTTTAAGTAACGTCTCTAAATTATTGGTTATTTCCCAAATGTTAGCTTCACTATCTGCTAAACAAGAATCTTAGCGCTGCTAACGCTAAACAAGAATCTTAGCTCTGCTAACCCTAAACAAGAATCTTAGCTCTGCTAACCCTAAACAAGAATCTTAGCTCTGCTAACCCTAAACAAGAA